CTTTACTTTACTAGAGGTGACCGCAACTCCAGGAACTGAATAATATGTGCAAACACAGTAATCATAAAAAACAATTTCATGTTAGAATTCTGATAAATATGGGGGACTAAGCTGATGTGAGATATGTATGTCCCTCTCCTCAGACACTGATATCAAGGATGTACCCAGGGACTAAATATTGCCAAGAAGCCCACAGGAGGGTACAGGTCTTTATAGCCAGAGGCTGGGGCTTTTATCACATGGGAATGGGATATCCAATGAGCATCTGAGAAAGGGAGCTAATTGAGCCAAGATCATGAGCTATTGGGTCTCCAAAGACAGTTCCATGTATATAGATGGAAAAGGTTTGCTTGAGCGTGTGAGTGGGAAATGGAATTCCCTGCAAGAAAACTGAAGCCAAATTCCATTGTGCATGGTTTTAAGTTCCAGGTTCATAATATCCTTATGGTACCCCAAGCTAAGATGTTAACAAAAAAATGAATCCCAGAATTGTCAAACCAAACTCACTGGAAATCCCAGCCAAGCCAAAGTGGAGTTATTCTTTAGGGGGTGTACCAATAACCCGTACAAGATCCCCATAGGAAAAAAAGAGAAAAAAAGCCTTGGGATGCCTGGGTGGCTCAGTCAGTTAAGCATCTGCCTTCTGCTCAGGTCATGATCCCAGGGTCCTAGGATCGAGTCCCACATCGGGCTCCTTGCTCAGCGGGGAGCCTGCTTCTCCCTCTGCCTGCTACTCCCCCTGCTTGTGCTCTCTCTCTGTGTCAAATAAATAAAATCTTAAAAAGAAAGCCTTCACCAAGGATAAACTCGTATTAGTAAATTACCAACCACATGAGGAAATGCTGTATGTATGAAACCAAACTTTGTTAAAAACAAAAACAGAAATTGACAGAAACACAACCATCATGGAAGATTTCCACCACTGTGCTGTTTTTGGAAGATTAGACAATTATTTATACAAACATTCACATGATCATATTCTAGCTAGTCATCTCCCTTTCAAAAATAAGTAAAAGGTTATGCTTTAGAAGATGATTAAAATGATTTTGATTATATATGTATATATGAATATTGCATAGCCATTAGCATAATAGTTTGAAAGAACTTAAGTGTTAAATGAAAAGGGCAGAATAAAAAGCAGAGACAGAAAAATGTTAATTTATTTTCTCTCTGAGAGAAAATATGTTAAAATATTTCTAGCATTAGAATGATGGTTGATTTCATTGATATCTTCATGAACCTTTTGTGTTTCCCCAAATGTGTATAATATAGAACAAAATTCGAATGATAGTACAACACAGGAGAGCCCTGAAATTTTGAGAACTGCAAATACTTTGATATTTCTGGAGTTAGGAACTTACGTTGGAAATGGACAGGAGATGAGACTGGAAAGATAACTGAGTCTCCTCAAGAAAACTTGGGTGACGGGCACCTGGGTGGCTCAGTTGGTTAAGCGACTGCCTTCGGCTCAGGTCATGATCCTGGAGTCCTAGGATCGAGTCCCGCATCGGGCTCCCTGCTCGGCAGGGAGTCTGCTTCTCCCTCTGACCTTCTCCCCTCTCATGTGCGCTCTCTCTCTCTCTCATTCTTTCTCTCAAATAAATAAAATCTTTAAAAAAAAAAAAAAGAAAAAGAAAACTTGGGTGTCATTTTAATAAACTTCTCTGCAAAATTATGAGAAATCTCTAAGAATTTTAAGCTGAGAAATATTGATCAGATACATATTTTCAAAAATTGCTCAGGCTATACAGTGTGATTTTAGAATGCAAAATAAAACAGAGAGCCAGACCACTGTAGTAATAATAGCTAAATATTTTATTGGGTGCCTACTATGTGCCAGAGACCATGTGTTGATCACTTTATATATTCTAACTCATTTCATCTTGCAACGGCTCTGTCAGGTAGGAAATTTTATCATCACCCTCCTAAACATAAGGAAACGGAGGCTAAAGAACTTGCTGAAGGTGGCTCAGTTTGTAACTGGTGGAACCAGGCTCCCATCTCGCGTAATCTAAAACCACGGTGAGGGATCTCCCTCACTGTGCTATGGTGGTGCCTTTCAAAAAGAAATGTGGCAGAGAGAAGTCAATAGGGGAACTGAGAGAGAAAATGGATGGGTCCAAGATGTTAACATCTCTTCTTGGGAGACTGGATTTTTGGTAGGAGCTTAAGGAGGGAAGGGAGTCAAGAACAATTCAGGAAAGACAGGTACGTGAAAAGTTATTTATATTCACTAGAGGAAACAGGAAATTTAATTCCTTTAATTTGCAATGATTTTTTGTATCTTCTTATATTTGAATGATTGAAATGCAATGAAATAGAAATGGCTTTAGTCCTGATGCATAATGAGAGTGGTATAGAGCGCAGATCACCATATGCCACACACACGTGATTTTTAACACGTATTTCCTATACTGCTCTGATGGAGCTCAAGTTTCTTAACCTGCATATGGGGAGAAAGAGCTACATTGTCCACCACACGGATTTGCTTTATCTACTATGATTTCATTTAGAGCTTTCTCGATTTGCATTAACAGAGATACAGATCAAAATTTCATTCTAATGATAAAAAGAAAGATATACACTAACGTAACTTTTCAAATTTATACATTTTCAGTATTCAGAATTAACTTTAACATCAAACTGTACCTTCCAGCAAAAGCCCATCTATTTTCACTCCTTTCATTTGTGAGAGTAAACATTCTTAAGATACTTGGTCCTTATTATTGTTAATGATTTTTGTACTTACAGGAATTATAGTTTAAATTTTTGATATTATAGCATTTTCCATATGAAAGGCATTAATTAATGCCTTAAGTAAGTCTGTGTCAACAAATATTTTCATATTTATAAGGCTTTTATGAAAAAAACCCCCACTATATTACTTTGGTGAACTAACTGGGATATGATATTTTCTGAAGACCTTCCTATTTAGAAAAGTATTAAGCAGTAAAGTTTACTTCTAGGTGTTCTTTATAGCAAAGGAACGTATAGCATTTGGCTTATTTCAAAAGTCATATTCTGCAAAAACTTAGACTTCACTAATAAATGTCAAAACTATTTCAAGTTTTGAAGGACTGACTCCATTCTGAAGGTTACCTTGTTTACTGTTGTTCAAATTGGTCCTTTCAAATTCTTTCAGAAACTATGTTCCCTGTTACAGTATTACAACAGGGAGAGAAAAAAAAAAGATAATAGGCATTGGTGCAACCTGAATGCATTTCAGTTGTGGAGGAAAAATAATTAACAGTTGAGCTCTGCTAAAAACAACATAGAATAGATTTAGCCCTATGAATACACACCTATAAGATAGTCACTTTCAGGTAAATAATAATTGGAATTTTTTGTGTGTGCTTTAGGAGTTTTAAAGGCATCCAGTACTTGCATGACTTCACTTTGGCAGCTCAGGTCATGTTCTCCAAGTTAAACCTCCTTGGTCAAAGCTGTGAGGTCTCAGATCCCCTTACCCTCTTTGCCCTTTCCAATGCTATTCCACTGAGGATCTACATGATACCTCTCTCATTCTTTGCCTTTTCCTGTCCTTAGCTGCTTTATTTCTATTGCTGGTGGAAGTCTCACCACTCTCCCAAGTAGTAATGATTGTTTCCTTATTCTGGGTGTTAAATTCCTTCTAAGTGTGTTTATACTATGTTTTACAAGATAATCTTTGGATCCTTCCATTTGGTTGTGCAACATCAGCCAGCTTCTGATTTCTCTTTGCTGCAGCAACTGGTAGAGCTGACTGGTATGCCTGGCCATGAACACTTGGCTGCATAAGACTGGTCTTTTTTTTTTTTTAAGATTTTATTTATTTATTTGTTAGAGAAAGAGCGCTTGAGAGAGCACAAGCAGAGGGGAGCCCAAGGCAGAGGGAGAAGCAGGCTTCCCGCTGAGCAAGGAGTTAAGAATTCACGAATACACTGTTGATGGTATGGAAGGCAATACCACTATGTACTTTTGCTCTTGTATAACAATGGCCATGAAATCCGTGGCTAGTACTCAATCCCAGGACCCTGCGATCATGACCAGAACCGAAGCCAGACGCTTAAACCACTGAGCCACCCAGGTGTCCCAAGACTGTTCTTGATGAATGTCTATTCAGTTGCAAGCTGCTGAACCCACTCTGAAGAGTTTTAGAGTGGGTCCAGGTGATGTACCTGTGCCTGTGAAGGAGAGGAGGTAAGGAAATGGTCTGTTCCAGGACCATCTTCCCAACCCCTTCCACACCAAAGATTATTCCTATTCTAATATCCTAAGGATTTATGTAGCATTTTTAGTTCCAATGAATTTAGGCTTTAGGGCTTCAACAGTTTTGAGCCATGCATCTCTTAAGCAACTCCATTCCAGTTCAGTGCTTAACTTGTAGTACCAACTTAATGACAATTTACTGACTTATCCAAGTTATCTGTGACATCTCCCCCAATGTAGTACTTTGTATATTTTCTTCTTTATTAGGCTGTGTTTTAAGCTTGCAAATGAGCTCAACATATTTTAAAATCGAGCTTATTGTTGTCAAGCACAAATTCAAGTGAGTTCAATGCTGGACAAATCTACATTAAGCATGAGTCTGCAGCTGGAAATGAGCAAACGCACCGGCACTAAAACGCATGCGCCCTTCCTTTTATTTACACCCTTTCTCTTAGGATCTGAACCAGGTGAGAAGTCGGTAAGTGGGGCTTGTGCAGAGAGCCCCGCAAGCTCAGCGCAGTAAGGAAAATGCGCCACACCTGAACATCCTTGGGCTCAGTTCCTTTTCTTCTCCGGTTCCGGGTGCTGCGGACGTCTGCCGCAGGTGCCTCCCGAACTCCCTGCCCCGGGCGCCGCCGCGAGTGTGGCCCGCTCCCCACCCTCTCGGCGCCGACGCAGTGCGCGGGGCAGGGCCGGTGCTCGCAGCCGGTGGCCCGGAGGGGCGCGCTCTGGGCTGGCACAGCTCGCTCCGCATCCCTTTCCTCCCGGCTCCTGGCGCCCTCCTATCTCCGTCTGCAGTCCCAGGCCCCGCCATGGGGAATGTGCCATCTGCGGTGAAGCACTGCCTCAGCTACCAGCAGCTTCTCCGGGAGCATCTCTGGATCGGGGATTCAGTGGCTGGGGCCCTCGACCCTGCGCAGGTACCACCTCGCGGCCCAGGGTGTCCCCACCCTTTTGCACACAGCCGGCTGGTCTCTCTCCCTGTTATGTCACCACCGCACCGCAGGGCCCTCCCTGCAGCAGTTCGGTCTTGTTAGGCCTCACCTCTTAAAAGGTTCCCCATCATCTCTGTGCTGTGAACATGTAGACCAGCCTCTGTAGCTCAGACCCAGCAAAATCCCTACCTGTGGCCTTTTGCAGGACGCCTAAAGGAAACTGCTGCTTCTCTGTTTTTCCCTTGGAGGGGCTGCATTATACAATATGCGTATCTCTTGGCTTTCCTCCAGGGATAGTGCCTTTATTTTCAGTTCCTTCCCTGTACCGTGTAACAAAGGGGGCAATGTGTGGCAGAAAGAGCAATGAAGCCAACATATATGGCTAGGAAAACATCGTAGGGTGAAATTATCTAGCATATCATTAATTATCCCTAATGTATTTATGCTTCAACACACTTGAATAAGCTTGAAAAAAATTGTAAATAACAGCAATTTCAAACCAAAATTGATGCCCCTGTGATTCCTGAATGCTTTAAGACAATAGGCAACTTGATTGGATCCACGTGTTTGCAGCTTAATGCATTCTCAAACAAATGGCAGGTAAATGAAAAAAGAAATTTGCTTTTCCTTTAAAAGAGCTCAAAATTTAAAATTTCACCAAGTAGTAACAGTGACAATTGTTATGTGAATGTTAAAGCATGGAAAAATGAAGGGGCAGTATAAGGGTTTCACTCTTTCTTGATTTTTTGCTGGACGCAAAAATGTTCATCCCTGATTCATCTTGTGAACAGCGTAATAACTTGGGTTAATTATAATATTTCAGTGGGTAAACATAATCTGACTATGTGGCTTTAGATCAGCTCTTCTAATACTAGGTATCCATTTTTCCTGTAGTTTTACATTTAGCGTATTCTCAGCTTAGTGTATCAGTATGTGAAATTGTGATCTTAGTTCTACAAATAGGAATTCAGCATTTGTGGATTCTTTCAAAACCAATCAGAAGATACATTGCTCCTCATTACTTAAAAGATGGTCATGGTCATCTGGCTTGAAGTCTGTTGCTGAAAATGCACGAGAGGGAGAGTTATTCTTCTCATATATTCACATGTCTATTTAATTTTTCTACATTCTGATTTGATTTTTTGCTATTATAACTTTGTTTTTATAACCTTTTTTTAAACTTCCATATTCAGTCTGTTAGAGAATCAGGAATCCTCTTTTCTTCCCTAGCTGAGACTTTGCGTGATGTTTGTTGCTGTGTTAACATTGTATTTCTCTCCCTCATGTTCTGATTTGTGAGCTGTGGGGGCAGTGGTGGAGACTAGGCTGCTACCTGAGGATGTCTACTTTGCCCTGTTAAGATGTGGAAGCAGGTCATCAAAAATGATAAGGAGTGTGAGAAACAGCTATACCTTCACTAAATAGTGACTTCTTTGCCTGGGAAACTCTTACTCATTTTTCAAACACAGCTTAAATGTTACTTCCTTTAACCAACTCTTTGCTCCACCCAGAGTTAATGCCCCATTTCTGTGCTTCCATGGCATTTTAGGCATCATTCTGTTTCAGTCCCACTCGTTGAATTGTAGTTTTTTATATCTTGCCTTATTTGAACTCAGCACCATTGACATCTGACACTTGACTCATTGAAATTGATCTTCCTTGGCATCTGTTTAATAACACCTGTAACTGCTTTGAGCCCTACAGAGTCTCTGGTTCCTTGGTCTGGCACCAGATGGACTCAGTGGCCTATCGCTGTCTGGTAAATGACCAGGTTCCTCATGACTTTGTATCCACACTCACGGTTTCGGTTACTATTTATATATTCGTGTTCTCCAGATTTATATTCCTGTCTCCCTCTTCAGCCTCTCACTGGACATAATCACTTGGATATTTCAAAAGCAATTCAAACTCAACATTTCCGAAATTGGATTCACGTTCTCCTTCCTTCGACCCCAGACCTTCTCCAGTATTTGCTATCACAGGAAACCATCACAATCTGTTCAGTTCTATATGCCACAAGGCAAGAGCTTTTCATTTTCATTTCCCCACATCCAAAGTATCACTAAGTCCTGCAATTTTACCTCTTGAATTTCTCTCAAATCCATCTTTTTTTCCAACTTTACTCCTACTATCAATTTTAAAATAGCATTCTCTCTCATGGACTACTGGGTGATTGCAGTCCTTCTTTAACACCCATGTAGCCAGTTGGGAGATGTTATCTATTTCAAATGGAATCCTGCTGACCCCCGTTTTATAGCCTTGTATGCATTTCTGTTACTTTTAGGAATGAACACCAAAACTTTCAATGTGTCTCTGAAGCTTTCCCTGTTATTTGCATTGCATTTCTCTATAATATCATCTTAAGGTATTCTCTTGTTCTTGCCACCGTGGCCCTCTTTGAATTCTTAATAATGTTTCCTCTGGAGCCATGGTCTTTGTTTTCCCCTCTGTTGGGAAGACTATTTTTAACAAATTCTGTTCACCCTTCAGATCTTAACTCAAATGTTACCTTCTCATGAACTGTTTCCCAGACTCTTAAGGCAAGCAGCTCTTGTTATCCTATATGGCTCAGTACACAGTTCATTATATATAATATGAATTGCCTATTTTTGTGATTATTTGATGTCTAGTTCCCTACCAGAGTCTAGGCATCATAAAAGTAAGGGAAACACCCACCATTCTCAGCAACTAACAGAATGTCTGGTTAGTCTTTCACGGCCAGTAAATACTTAATGAACAAATGAGTGAATGTTTATCTCCTGCTTATGGGGACCATGAAATTCTTCGTAGCACTTGCCAAATCGATGATTGGTACATTGTGGTACAATGAAAAATATTAGTTAAGTGAATGCTAATGTGATGATAATACTTGATGTCAATATAGTTTGGTCTTAGTGATAGAAGATGGATATTATTCCTGTTGGTGTCTTACCTTTTCATCTCACAGGAGTTAGGCTTTGATGGGGAGAAGAGCTGAAAATGGATTCTGGGGCCTGTTGATGAGACAGCACAGTGCTTAACAAATCATTGTAAAATCTGGCAGAGAGAATCATGAGCAGGACCTCTGGAATTTGAAACAATTTTGTAACTGTTGGGACAGATAGAATATTATATTTTGAAAGAATCCTGTGCTAGGCAATAGAAGATTGGAAACCTAGATATTTTTTGGCTACCAATTCATCCTGTGAATTTGTGCAGGCAATATCCTGGCTAGATCTTAAAATTTCAGTTTACATGTGAGAGATAATAATATATCCCTGATAAATTATTAGGATGAAAGATAAATACTGGGTGTATGTATGTGTAAAAATAGACACACATACGTTTGAAGTTTAACAATTTATTATCCAATACAAAATAGGTCAGTGTGAATAAAAGGTTTATTGTACCACAGCTCCACAAATTAAATTTTTGAGTCTCTAATTTTTTGCTAATGACACTGATTTTGCAGAGGATTCCTTTCATAGACCAGGAGGTTAAAATTGATCATCCTATGGTTCAAGCTATCTTTTCAGGCCTGTTTTATTTTCTATGTTTGTCTCTGTTAAAATTGGTATGAAGAAGCTGGCTTAATTAGTATATTTCAAGATTTTGATTAAATGTAAGGTACCTGGTAAAGCAATTCCTTTTTGATTTGCAAGTGCTGCTAAAGCAGTAGCTAAATTTTTTTCATACATTAATACCCTGTGTGACAATAAAATTCTCCAGGGCCTAAATTCTAATACAATATTTTAAATGCAGTAGATGTATAGAAGCAAAATTGTAGGTTATGTGACATTAAACTTACAGTTATTGTACATTATATCCTGAATCCTTTAAGTTACATTCGCTCTCAGCAAAAATTATGATTCAAAGAAAGTATTTGGTATTAAAAGTTTTCAGGAATCTAACTTAAATATATTTCTGCATAAATTTAATCTGAGGATAATGTGACTGTATGCTTTTTAGTTTGCAGCTCTGCAGTTGTTAGTACATTTACTAAATACTTTAGGATGACTGGGGAGGAATTTTCAGAAAAGAACCAAGGTACCATCCCACTGTTTTTTTTTTTTAATTTGTCTCAAGTGTTCTTTTTCCCCTCTTTTTTCCTCCTGTTATGCTTTTTCCCCGCTTTTTTCTCCTTTTATAGCTTCTTTTGAGTGACATAATTTTGTTCATTTTTCCCCCTGCCATGGCTTAATTATATATTGTTTTTACTATACTCTTTGTTGCTATATATAAGATGTCAACACATGATCTGGACTTACTAAAAATATTATATAAATTGGTATCTTTGCAACTTATTAAACATGCAAATATAGTATTTTAGCTCCATTACTGACTTCCACTTTTCATATTATTGTATATGTTAGTTTTATATCTGTTGTCTATATGTATATAGTTGATATACATTTTATATTTAGAATATATTTCTTTCCTTTAGTCTTCCTTTCTTCATCCCCATTTTTCCATCTGAAATTATTTTCCTTCGTCTAGAAGTAGTTTTTTTTCCTACATTCTTTAGTAAAAATATGATTTTTTTTCATTTTTGTTTGAAATTACATTTATTTTGATAAATGACATACATAATTGTAAGTTAATACTGGCCATAAATATATAGTCCACATAAAGAATTAAAATGCATGACAACAGCACAAAATGTAGATTTCTCAAGAGAGGTAATGGAAGCCATAGACAATGAAATGAACTGTTAGTCTTATTTTTGCTTCTTTGATGATAATGAGTCTTCTCGTTGTCTTTGGTTTTTCACAGTATGACGATGATATGTCTAGATTTAATTTTCTTTGCATTTGCCAGTGGTTTGTAGCATTTTTTGGATCTATGGCTCCATGCTTTATTGGCTTTCATAGATTTTAGAAAATTTTCAACCATTTCTCCTTAAGTATTGCTCTGTTTCTTTTTTAATCCCTCCACTTGGGCTTATCATTTGAAAAATCTTAGAACTTCCCCTGTGCTCCATCTATTTCTTACACTCATTTTTGTCT